ATCTGTCCATGTCTCACGTGTCTGTCTCATCTGTCCATGTCTCACCTGTCTGTCTCATCTGTCCATGTCTCACCTGTCTGTCTGTCAGGTGCCTTGCAGCAGAGCGGACGTGTTTGCGAGTCGTCAGCTGTCGGTGGTCGAGAAGAGGAAGTTGATGCGTTTCCTGACTTCCTGTATGGAGGAGACAGAGGAACAGCAAGGTGAGATTCACCTGTGGACTTGATGTTTCAGAATAAAAGCATGTGTTTGGTACCTGGTGTGACTCATTTAAACTCGGACCAGTTAATTCTGGTTCGGATCGGCTCTTAACAGATCATGGGTCTGTTTCACATTGCATTCTTCTTCTTTCGGCTTTTCCCTCTTCAGGGTCGCCACAGCGAGTCATCCTCTTCCACCTCACTCTGTCCTCTGTGTCCTCTGTCCTCACTCCATCTACCTCCATGTCCTCTCCAACTTCATCCATAGATCTCCTCTTTGTCTTTTTCCTGGCAGCTGCATTTCTAACATCCTTCTACCAACATACCCACTGTCCCTCCTCTGGACATGTCCAAACCACTGTCCCTCCTCTGGACATGTCCAAACCACTGTCCCTCCTCTGGACATGTCCAAACCATCTCAGTGTGTCCTCTCTAACTTTACCTCCCAGTTGTTCAACCTGTGCTGTACCTCTGATGATCTCATTCCTGATCTTCTCCATCCTTGTCTCTCCTAAGGAGAACCTCAACATCTTCATTTCTGACACTTCCAGTTCTGTCTCCTGTCTTTTTGTCCATGTCTCTGTCTCCAGACCATATAACAGAGCTGGTCTCACCACTGTCTTGTAAACTTTTCCTTTGACCTTTGCTGAAAACTTTTCTCCATCACTCCATCCTGCCTGGACTCTCTTCTTCTCCTCTTCACCACACTCCCCATGTTGGACCTCAAGTCCTTGAAGTCGTGCACCTTTGTGACCTCTGCTCCTTGTAGCCTCACTGTTCCACCTCCTCCCTCTCATTCACACATGGACTCTGTCTTACTACGGCTGACTTTCATTCCTCTTCTTTCAAGTGCATACCTCCACCTCTCCAAGTTCTCTTCCACCTGTTCCCTGTTCTCACCACAGATCACAATGTCATCTGCAAACATCATCGTCCACAGGGATTCCTTCCTGTTAGTCGGTCCATCACCAGAGCAAACAAGAGGGGGCTCAGAGCTGATCCTTGATGCACTCCCACCTCCACCTTGAAGCTATCTGTCACTACAGCACATCTCACCACTGTCCTGCTGTCCTCATACATGTCCTGCTGTCCCCATACATGTCCTGCTGTCCTAATACATGTCCTGCTGTCCTCATACATGTCCTGCTGTCCTCATGCATGTCCTGCTGTCCTCATACCTGTCCTGTACCAACATACTTTTCTGCCACTCCAGATTTCCTCATGCAGCACTCTGTCAGATGCTTGTTCTAAATCCACAAAGACACAATGGAGTTCTTTCTGACCCTCTCTCTTCTTCTCAGAGAGTCAGAGTCAGAGATTCTTTATTGTCATTCGCACCTCATGTGGTACATGTGGTGGAGAGAAATTATGTACACAGGGTCCCAGTTACATCCAACAATAAAATGTATAAGAAAAACAGTAATAACATCTAAGATATGAACTAAGAAAAACATCAACTAAATATACACTAAACACTCATAACATAAAACATTGAACATCAGCACAAACATGAACATGAGTCTGTGAGCAGATGTGCACACATGAACACATCACCATTGAAACAGATCAGCAGCAACATGAAACAGATCAGCAGCAACATGAAACAGATCAGCAGCACCATGAAACAGATCAGCAGCACCAT